GCAGAAAAGAGAAAGCCCTTGTGTTCTCAGATCCTGGTGCCAGCAGGACGCAGTGCAAGCATGACTAACTTGGCTCTTTTAGAATAAGAATAAAAATAATAGCAGGGCCAGGGAGATAGCTCAGTAGAATAAGCGCTTGACTGGCAAGCGCAGGGTCCTCAGTTCAATCCCCAGTACCTCAAGAAAAAAAAGCAACAGTAGATGTAGCAACAAAGCCCACCTTCTACCTGTGAAACATGTACTTAAGCTTACGTATATTTGTATTTATTCTTATGTGGAATGTCACTGTGACCAGGCCAGGGCTTGGGACACAGTAGGTGCTCAATAAATGCACATAGGGCACTGCTTTTCAGAGAGACAGAATTGAGGCTCAGAGTGTCCACACAGTAGCAGCCTCACCCCACATACCACCTGCCCACTGGCACGGCCACAATATCCCCCTGAACTGTGTCTCCATTCCTGCCCAGAGCCCCGGCCTGGTAACACCCTCTACCTTACAGGGTTCGTTCCCCTCACTTCTCACAGCTCTGATTATAGCTATAAATTAGACCTCAGTCCGGTGAGTGTTTGCAGGGTTTGCTACAGGAGACTGAAACTCTTAGGAGGGGAAGACCCAGCCATGAGAACTGCCTCTAGCTGGTGGGTTCAGGCCAGGGCTGGCCCGTAGTGAGCCTGGGCACGCAGGGATTTGTGGCTGCATCAGTGAGGCAGGAGGAAGGACTCCCTGTGCACCAGCAAACCACCCACAGCCTCGGGAGCCCATCGCCCACAATGAGAGGGCGGGGTTGGGGCAGGATCCCGACAGCCACTCCAGTTTCTGTTTGTGTCTGGAAGGTGCTTTGCTGGTGAGATGTCAAACCTCTTCAAAGGCATTTTTGACACATTTTCCTCCCAGACTTGGCATGAAAGCCATGAAAACCTCAGACAGAAGCTGTTGAAGCTTGAAATAGCAGGTCTCAACAACAATGAACACCCCGGCACTGCTTGTGCTAGCTCTGAAGTGGGAAATGCTGACACTGACGCACACACACACGCACATGCATACAATTACATTTGCTATATGCTACGCACTGGGGCAAAGCCTACACGGGGAAGTCATTCACTTATCTGTCATCCCACCACGGGGGGCCTGGGGCTCCACCGACCAGGGACGACGGCACCAGACAAGGTCAGATGAGGCCACGGCAGAGTCACGGTACATTTTGACGTCTTGTCCTGGTCTCTGAGCCATGCTCACCAAGGTGTGTGGCACAAGAGGTGCTTTCAGGGACCAGGGCCTCCCTGGCTCATGGCCACGTGTGGGCAGTGGGAGAACTTAGGCTGCGGCGCTAAGGAGCAGGATGACAGATGCCCGCTCTGGCCTCTCATTCCCCCAGAGAGCATGTGCAACGACCACTAGCCTAACTTACCAGCGCAGCCCGTGAGCCTCTGTGTGTCTGCGACGGGGCCTCCTGGACAACTTCCGGGGACTCTGCTGCTCTCCAACAAGCCTGCATCTCTCAACTGGGCAGATGCTGGGCCTCAGGCAGCCCACTAGCCTGCTGACCACAGGAAGCATTTCATGCCAAGAGTGTCTGCCCCTACCTCTTGCCCCATCCATAAAAGCACTGGATTTCCATGAGCAGTACCCAGTGTAAGACTTGCTTGTCCCTGTCACAATGAAAGGGCTTCCCATGTGCCAAAAGATGGCCCGAGATCCTCAAAGTTGCTCAGAGTTACTCTTGGTCTCATGTTTTCTTTAATAAGGACTCAGTTTTTAGTTTCACATTCAGGAGAGACTTAATGAGCATGTAAGATCTCATATGATGAGAACAGATTTATACTAAAGTGTTAAAGATTGATACTAAGTCTAGGAGGGAAGCAGGTTTTGGTAGGAGTGGTGAGCTGGAGACCAGGAAGACCCTTGATTTCAACAAGCATGCGCCTTTGATTGTCAGAGCTGAAGTTATCCTATAGCTCAGTTCCTTGTTTCAAATAGGAATCTAAACCTCTGGGATTATGGTGCATGGAAAGAAAGATGGGTTACCAGACAAAAGGCAGGGACTAGATTCACCCCTGTTGCTTTTTAGTTGGTGATCTTGCGGGAAAACCCACATGGCCACTCTGAGCCTTGCGTTCCTCATCTCTACGATGGGGACAGATAATTGTGAGGACTGAGATCATCCAGGTGAAAGTGCTTTGAGATTCTAGACCAGTGTCAGAGATCCCTGCAAAAGGAGGTATCACCCTCCACTGTGGGGGCCCTGGAGGTCATCCCACAGCGCTGACTTCACACCGCAGGGGTGCAGCACGGCCCGTGTCCCGGGTGCGTACTGCCCCCTTTTCAACTCCAGAGGCCCCACCATGGTCCAGCGTGTGGTCCTGTGTGGATGGACAATAGCTCAGAAAGTTCTTAGTGGACCCCAGAGATGTGGCCGGAGGCCCACAGCCAGCAGGGCCCCACCCGGGCAGCCGGGTCCCAGGGAGGCAACTGCAGACTGGGGAAGTGGCATCAGGGCTGATGAGCATTTTGTAAGTAGCCCTCAGGTGACACAAGGTTGGCTCGAGGCTAAGCCATGGGTCTCATCTCCTACCCAGGACACAGAGGAGCTTTTAACAGCCAAGTGTCTGAGGAGTGCGTGGACCTGACATCTGCGGAGACCTGAGCAGAGACAGGCTCTACCTGCTGTCGCCAAGGACTCCTGGCAGGCAGACGCCTCATCTGATGGCCTCTGGGGGTGCTGCAACTCCCACATCCCAGGTGGAAAGAAGACGGGTTCAGTTGAAGAGGGACCTGCTACCAGTCTGGCCACCATGCAGTAAGTCACAGGGCGCTTTGATCTTCTGAGCACTGGTGTACCATATTCCCACAGAGCACCAAGCGTTTCCTTCCAACACCACCCAGTATGATCCTCTGGCGTAACTGATTTCTCATGGGGAAGAATCCCGTCACTTCAGTGGTGATGAATGAAAGCCTTGCTGTGGAGCCTGAAGCAGCTCAGCTTTTAATCAGAAGTCACACTACTTCAGGAAGAAACGGGATTTCCTCCAGCTCAAGGGCTCCCACCCAGGTTGGGCACACATACCCAATGTTTGGTGGGGCTGAATGAGGACTTGCACTGTTTGCTGGACAAAGCTACTATTCCTGGAGGGAAGGTGGCTGCAGAGCAGTTTGCAAGCAGCACAGCAGGAGTGATGCCCTCCGCTGTGGCAGGAGGGGACAGGAAGCCCACGGCTCCTGCAGGGCCCTAGTCAAGGGCTTGGGCTTTGTCTGCTCAGGATGATAGGGGTGGAACTCCCTGTCCCTTCCAAGGGTGCCGGCCCAGGGACTGCACCTGTGGCAGGGCACAACTGGCCTGCACCCCACCCAAAAGTGGGCTCACCCCGACAGCACCATGGTCCACATGAGAAGAACTGCTTTTGAGGGAGATGCCAGAGCTTCCACTGGTGGCAGAATGTGTTCTGTGCTCCCGCAAGCTCAGCAGCTTCCAAGCTGGGCTGGATGGACTTGGGAGGACAGAGGACAGACAATGTGTCCCAACATCATCCCGTACAAGCTGGGGAAGCTTGAGGGATGAGACAAAGTTACAGCTGGACAGAACAGGTGTGTCCTGGGCCTGTGACTGTACCAGGGGCCCCTGGGGAGCGGGGAGGGAGTCAGCCTGGCTGTCAAAATGCTTCGTCCTCTCTACCAGCACCCTGGAACTTCTCTGAGACATAGGTGAGGCCAAGTATTGTGATTCCCATCTTGGAGGTCAAGACCCGAGTACAGGTCAAGACCTCCAACATCAGACTCATCTGAGCAGCTCCATCCTGAGCTTTTCAATGTCCACGTGATGGTGTGGCATCTGTGGGGGAGGGGCTGGGGGCAGAATGGACCACTGCTCATTGGCCATTGATTCTACTGCTTTGGTCAGATCTTTGTTCTAGGAGTGAATGGAAAGGAGATGGGCGTGACCTTCCCTACGTTGAGTGTTCAGAGGCTGCACTGAACACTCAACAGGCAGGCTGGGACCCAAGCAAGGGCTCCTTTGCACTCAGAGGGTTTGCAGGGCCTCTGTGTTCTGCGTTGGGCTGATGAGGGGAATGGGATTTCCTCAAGGGTCCGAATCTGATGGGCTTGCGGTCCAGTGCACAAAGCATTCTTCCTTCATGGAGAGGAGGCAGAAACCAAATCTCTCACCTGGGCTGTGTGGCCAGATTCTCACAATTAAGCCCAATTCCAAATTTGTGGGTACAAATTTTCCCATTTTTAAGTGTTGGCAGTTCCTTCCATAATGTTTAAGATTAGTGCGAGAGCCAAGCAAACACCAGGGGCCTCGGGTCACTGATTGGCAGGCCTTCAGTGCAAGAGGGATTAGGTGAGATTTCCAGTTGCTAAGATCATAAGGAAACATAAACACACTCTCCGCTTTCATTGGATCTCGAATGGTCTTTGTGACGAGACTTATGCTGACCTCAGTCTGCAGTAAACAGAAATCATTCACAGATATCAGGGAAAGCAATAAGAGAATGGTTCCAGAGCAAAGAATTTCTCTACTCTGAAAAATGTTTCACTGCTGTTGAACCCTCCTTGCCCTGCTGGCGCTGAGCCCACAGCTCTGCGACATTCCCTGCAACCTCTAGGCCTCTGTCCAAGCATCCTGGGAATGAATCGAGATGAGTTCTGCTCAAGTGCCTCCCATTTGCCTGCCATGCCCAGGCTCCCACATATTCACAAGGCTCTTGTGACACACGCCTGGGAAGCCAGGCCCATAGCAGGATGCTGTGGCATTGCTAGCGTGCTGCAGGCAAGGCCAGAGCAGCACCAGAGCACCAGCTCCAGGCTTCAGGCTGCGTTTGGTTTTCTGCAGAGTGCACCCAAAGCAGTGGCATGCTCCCCGTGAGCTCCGGGGGCAGCGCCTTCGCAGCTGTGGGGCAGGCAGGACACAAGTGGGGTCACTGGCAGGTGCGGTGCTGGGAGAGCCAATTTACCTGGGCAGGTGGAGACCACCTGGAAGAGCACGGCACAGGGTTCTCACCTTAGACCAATCCCCTGTCTTCCACTCGTAGCAGCCCGAATAGTCTTCGCAGGGCTCCTCCTCTCTCGGCCTCGTGGCTGCGTCGCATTTCCCCTGGGAGTTGGTGCACGTCACTGTTCGCTTCTGTGTCCCCTTGCCACAGCTGGCAGAGCACTGCAAGACACCACACAGGGGCTTAATCTAGCCCGAGTCTTTTCAAATCCATCAACAACTGTGATGTCCCTACTACATATATCAAAGGATGGTGCCATGTTTTTGTCCCCTTAAAGCTCAGGGTCTTTAGAATCTTAGGTGCAGTCCCAGCTGAGATCCCAGCCAGATGGCTGGCGATGGGGGAGACAGGAGTCAGGACTCAGAAGGACTTGGGGTGCCTGGAAGTTTGCTCTAGGACAAGGGGCTTTGGTGGTCAGCTGTCAGGTCCACAAGAAAATGCAGGGCAGAAATTCAAGGGACAAATGAGGATCTGGGGGCAGAGGCCAGTTAGAGCACGGCAAGGTCTGAGAATACACAACAGGCACACATGGCCAAGACCCCGATTTGGGGAGGAGGAGGGAGATGAAAGCCACAAGTGACTTTCGTCTAAGGCAGGTGGCCACTGCTCAGACAGTGCCTGCAGCGTCTTAGTGTGGACACCAAGACTGGGAACAGAGGAATGAGCCCAGTGGCAGTCTATTTACTTTCAGAGAGACATGCAAGAGCGGTATGTGAAGGGCACATAGGCAGGCCCTAGAGCGTGACAGGCGGCACGCAAACTCCTCGAGCGCTCAAGACTGCCAGGCCCTGAGCAGCAAGGAGAGCCAGGGGACAAAGATGACCGGTGCAGAAGCGGCAGGTGCACAGGGATGTGCGGAGCCTGGCACTGCTGCCAGCTGAGGCTGCTGAGAAGAGGCCTGGCAGGGCCTCTCTCAGTTTCTCTCTTTGCGTCCCATCAGGGATGGGCCCACAAAGGCCAGGACAGGCAAAGCTGACCATACCTCTTGTTCCCTTTGACATACCCCACCTTCCTTCTAAGAGAGTCTGGGCTGGGCAGGTAGTGAGCAATTGGTGCTGACAGCTGAATGAATGCCACCCGTTGACAGATTAGACCCAGCTCCCAGAAGAAGGGCTGTCAGGCTTCAGCCCAAGGTGAAGGGACGGAACCCTACTTCAGGAGCAACGCGTGGGGGAATGATTTAATACAGGTTAAGAAAGCAGCACTTGGCTGGGCCGGGGTGGCTGGGTCAGGATGAGTACAAGTGACATGCTAGTTCGGGACTAGGATTAGACAGACAAGGGAGCATGGTCCCAGAGAAATGGCTTCAGGTAGCGCTCTACTGCCTCCCTCACATTTTCCAAACATGGTGATCTTCAATGCTCTAATAACTAATAACTTCAGGCTTGGCTCTTTTGGTAAAGAGGTACCCCCAAGGGTCTGCATGGAATGCTCAGGGTTTTGGTCTGTGGAAAGCATGTATCTTATGCGGGCCATCAGCAGGTGATCAAGACCCCAGGGCCCACGTGCACAGTGATGGAGGAGCTGTGGCTGTAGACCCACCTCCGCTCAAGTATAAAAGAAACACTCCTTGGTGGTTTAAACTTGCAAATCTAAGTCTATGAAAAGAAGAAAACCATGAGGCTGGAGAGATAGCTCAGTAGAATAAGTGATTATTTGGCAAGTGCAAGGTCCTGAGTTCAAACCCTGGTACCATAAAAAAAAAAAGAAGAAGAAGAAGAAGAAAACCAACATTTCAGTTACCATCTCTTCCTAAAATCTCCTAAAGAAGACAAGGATCCAGATTTCTAAATTTGTTGCATTTCAAGATCTTTCTAGAAATTAAACAGGTTTCAGAGCAGCCAGAGGCATATAGCTTGTTCATTAAAAATGGGCTGAATACTTTCTTCTTGAAAATAATTCTGTTTGGCAATCAGAGGGAACTTTAAAAATATTTTCCACACTGAAGAGTGTCTTGGATCTAGCCTCTTTGAGTTTCCTAGACCACTTTTGGTGGAAGACCTGAGGGAAGCCTGCTATTTATTTACTGATTTTCTGTTTGTTTTCTAGCCAAAGAATCAAGATCATTAAGGTAAAGTCAATTCAAAGCCATAAGGAATGACATCACTAAAGATAAAATGCTGCTTCCAGGATTGGCCTTCAAAGTTAGAACTGCAGTCTTAATTGGTGTCTCTCCAAAATGTTTCATGGCATGAGATTTGTACCTCTGACTTGCATCCCAAAGGCTGTCCCTTCCAGCATCTGACTCAGCTGTGACATTAAAAGGAAGTCTTTGAAACCAGCTTTCCCAACTTGACCATCCTACAGTGCAAACATGCTCATAGGAGGATTACAGAGCCAACTGGGGTCTAACTACACATGGCAATATTCGTAAGGAATAGAACAGATAGTATTTTTACTGTGGTGTCAATGTATGTGCCATCAAAAGTGTGTGCATGTGGACACGCCTGTGTGTGCCATGCTGCTTTCGCAGAGGGGATTTAAGAAAGTATGAGCTGAAACACCACCTCGAGCTCACCTCGGGATGGGTAAGGACTGTGATAATGGATGGGGGTACATGACATCGAGGAGCAGAGGGTACCATTCTGGAGTCCTCATACACGAGGCTGGGAGGGCCTTGGCATGAGCAACAAGCAGCCCAGGCACCCACCTGTGACCACTCAGATGCCTCCCAGATGGACAGGCAGTCTTGGCCCTCACAGCTCTGCACTGGTGTTGGTCGGGGACCTGGGCAATACAGGGGGCGTGTAGCAACATGGGTGCCATTCTGCAGCTGGTACACGCAGGTCACCTCCCGGTGCTGGATGCCCTTCTCGCAGGTTGCTGAGCAGGGGCTCCATGGGCCTGCCACCCATCTGCCAAAAGGGAGAAGAGACAGTGAGAACATGGGGGGAGGTCAGCCTTCTAACCCAGCAGAATGCCTTCCAGAAGGGTCATGAAAGCACTCCAGAGTATAAACCGAGTCACCCAAATGGTCACCTAGTCTAATGACCTTCTCGGTACAGAAAGCCCCTTGTACACATCAGCCCAGTCACCGGCTGGGTGATGGTTCTCAGCTGCAGTGCAGTTATATATCCCACTTGGCGTCCTGCGAGATGCTTTGTTCAATGGTAAGCAGACACGCTGCTGGCCATTGCTAGCAGCACTTTGCTACAGTGATGAACTCTGGCTCGGATTCTCTTGTCTCTTGCTCTCTGCCTTGGAACCATGTCACTGTTCTAAGGTACTACAATGAAGGAGCTATTTATTAGAGCAGCACCAGAGACTGTAGCCCCTCCAGAGTAGAGAGGGTGACTCTTGAGGATGGTACCTTGTGGGCCACAGGAAGACAGAGGCTGACGAGGTCGGCATTTGAAAGTACTCTCCTAACACTTCCTGACCTGCCCAATGCTCTCACGATCTGGAGTCTCTCTCTCAGTGTGTGGAAAGCAGTATGGGATTCTTGGTTCCTCAGAACATGGAGGGGGCTTGTGGTGTTCTTGTAGGGGCCCTAAAGGAGTCTCTCCTGTTTGCCTCTTGGGTGAGCTGGCAAGCTTAGCCAACACACCTAGGTCCCAGGACTCTACCTGGCAAGGCAGCTCTAGCTATGGGTGTCTATCTTGGACAAACTCTCCATTCTTCCTCATTAGTTAAAATAACCCTGAACTCTCCTGGAAACAGACTCTCATCATGCCATGTCACCCGAGTTCAGAACCCTCTGTGGCACCCGGAGGGCCTTTCCAGTGGGCACTAAGTAGTACCATTCCGTCTTCCTGGCCTGTTCCAGCCAGCAGAGCGCCTCTTCTTGGACCTCCCACTTAACGTGGGAGAGACGGAGACAACAGTGCCTACCACGGGGTGACTGTTGTCATACGTTGCTCACAGCAGCACCTGGTGCACAGAGGCCCACGTGCCACTAGCTGTGATTGCTGCCATTGTCTCCTTGGGAGGTGACGGTGAACTTCCAGGGCACTGAGCCAGTTTCTCATCCCAGGATTTGCCAATTGCTCAGACAACACTAAGAAAGCCCACCAGACTGAGTTCCAAGTGTTTCTCCTTCACCTGGTTTTTGGTGGAGCAGGAGTTCACGATCCTGCCATCTCAACTTTAATTTTCTAATCAGTCACTGCTGTTCTTAAAATGGATACAAAGACCCAGGTATGGTCTGAAAGCAGCCCAGAATGTCGCCTTTCTTTAAATAGAGATGCCGTCTTCATCAATGTTGCCCAACTTTGTCCCAATTTTAGGCTATTATATAGTCGATTTATACCTCCACTAAGTTTATCCCCCCTTTCTCATTATGCTTGTATCCTTTGAGCCGACTCCTAGTCAGATCTTTCTCCTACATGTCTGCAATTGACTTTATGAGTAAAATGTCAGGGTTTGGGGTGAACTTGCTGGGTGCTACCACGCTGACCCTTCCTGGGAAAATAGCTTTGTACATGATTTTGTTTTTCCCTGTCCTCATCACAGGGACATCAGCAGGCCTAGAGATGCACAGCATGGCCACAGGGTGGACCTGCTTCCAAGGCACATGGCCAGGCTTGTGCCGTAATGAATGTGGGCAGCTACTGTGGTTTAAACAAAGATCACATGCAGGACACAAAAGAGGGAAAGAGTTGGGTGAGGTTCCGAAGTCCGCCCTGGCTGTCTCCTATGCCTTCTGCTCCACGGATAACTTGAAAGGTCTTTCTGGCAGGGAAAGAGACTCCAGGAGGAAAATGGAGAGGAAAAGTTGACACAGGTTATAGCCCAGGAGAATTTGAAGACATTATGCTAAATGAAATAACCTGGTTACTACAGGACATTGTAATTCTGAGGTACCTCGGGTGCTCACACTCAGAGACAGAGCAGGATGGGGGCATTCCGGGTGAGGCAGGGGAATTTCTGTTTAATAGGGTCAGAGTTTCCATTTGGGGAGATGAAAAAGTTCTGGAGATGGATAGTGATGATGGGAGGCGAGCAATGTATACAAGAGTTCATACTGCAGTGCTCATGCACTTAACGTGGTTAAAAGACTTGTGGGAAGATGGCACTGTGGTGCACTGCAGAGAAGCAGCCTCTCCAATCTCAAACCTGCAGATGCACAGTGATTACTGGGGACCCCAGGGGCCTGCATGGTAAAACACACCAGTGGAATAGAGCCATGGATGCAGCAGACTGCAGTGGCTGGTGAGTTATTTGGGTTCAGATGTCCCCCAAGGAGAGGAGGATTCACTGGCTGCCATATTGCATAGAAGCCCACCGAGCTCAGAACTCAGCAGCTGTGGATTGGTTTCATCTGTGTTCTGGTGTGATGATAAAGGGGAGCTGAATTCAAGTCAGCAAGAGCTCAAGGAGCCCAGCGCAAGCCAGCAGGAGGTACGCAGAGTGTTGCAGGCCGAACAAATTAAGTTCCAGCCTCACAGTCAGAAACCAGCTTGAACTTCAGGGGAAATGCAGGGCCAGGCTTGCTGGGATCATCCACTACCTTGCTTTAAATCTCCATCTGGCTTGTTAGGATTAATCTCCACGGAGTTGAGCCCTGCCTACCAGTGAAAGCAGAGATACAACTCTGAGTGAATTTTTCATTCTTCTGTTTTTATATGAGTGTGAGCATTATTTCTATCTTGCTGTTGTCGCTCTGTTCTTGTTTCTTCCTTCTCTTTCCTTCCTGTCTCCTTCACCAGTTTCCCAAAGCTCACATAACTTTCCCTGTCCTCCAGCCCTGCTTCTGACCTCCTCATGTTCTTCTATTTCTCTATTCTTTTCCCTTTAAAGCCTTTTAAATTATTTCCCCTGATGGCAAAATTACCTTATTGAGGACATGTTTACTGTGTACAAGTTTTTGGCCTCGTTTTAGATTTTGTTGTATAACCACAAATCTAGTTCATATGGTTAAAAGTGGCAAATTAATAGTTATCACAGTCTGTCATTTTCTAGGCTGTTTGGTGCTATTGTTATCATTGACTGTATTACTATAACCAACGTGACAAAACTGTTGTAATCTCTTGTTCTTCCTGGTGTGCCAAGCTGTGACTGCCTAAGGGTAATAAACAATACTACAGGACAGTGCCAGAGAACCAGCAGCAAGGCCAAACAGGCAGCAACTTCTCATCCCCAATAAATTGAAAAGGTAGGATTTTGCAACAGACTCAAAGCCAAAAGCCAGCTTTACCTAGAAGACGTCTCTGAGAAATAGCCATTTCCTAAGGGTTCTCGTAACTCCAGCAATAAAGCTACCTTCCATAAGAAATTTACAAGCATCAACCCAGAAATTAAACTAAGAAAGGCAGAAAGAAAGAAAGAAAGAAAGAAAAACAAAGAAAGAAAGAAAATGGAAGCAAGATGCAACTGAAGACATCCAGCTCACCAAAGGGAAAGCCAGGGAAAAATGAGGTAGAGCCACCCAAAAGCCACCCAGCTGGACTCTCTCTGAAGTGGTGATGGTGGAACTAACAAAGCTGATGAATGAGGCTCCAGAAAAAAAATAAAATCAGAACTACAGAGATGGTGACTATAATGAAAAACACAGTTAGTGACTCTAGAGCAGATAAAGATTGTTAGAAATGGAGGTGCTTAGGAAAACGATGGAAACCATAAAAGAACATAGGAAAGAAATGGATTCCATCAAATAGATTCAGATATCCAGATAATTGGTCCATTGTAAGTATATATATTAGGATGATCCAAAACTGAGGACAGAACATCGGGTAGAATACAGGATTACTGTTAGCAATCATGAAAAAGATTTCTTACAGTTAGCAAGTGACCACACAAAAACAATCAGTCAAACAGCCGTTGGATGATACAATGAAAATAAGATTGATCAGAATCAATGAAAACATAGGAGACAGCTGAAATAGCATAAAAAAATTCTGTTCACAGAAGTAATGGCAGAAAAGTTCCAAAGCAAGGAAAAAGAATTTGGCATACACATAAGTGAGGCATATAGAACTCTGATTAGCCATATAATATCAAGATTCCAAAAATTCCATAGAAGAACAGAATATTAAAAGCTGTTAGAGGGGCCGGGGAGATGGCTCAGTGGAATAAGCAGTTCTCTGGCAAGCACAACGGCCTGAGGTCAAATCCCCGGTTCCATTAAAAAAAAAATAAAAGCTGTTAGAGGGGCCGGGGAGATGGCTCAGTGGAATAAGCAGTTCTCTGGCAAGCACAACGGCCTGAGTTCAATCCCCGGTTCCGCAAAATAAATAAATAAATAAATAAATAAATAAAAAATTAAAAAAAAAATAAAAGCTGTTAGAGAAAAGGAAAAACTTTACTGATAAAGGAAGGCCCATCAGAAGTACAGTAGACATCCCAACACAAACCCTCAAATCAAAGAGAGCTTGGAGTGAGGTATTTTAAGTCCTAAAAGAAAGCCTTAAGCCATATTGATGTACCCCATAAAACTCTCTTTCAGAATTGATGGAGAAATAAGATACTTCCATGGCAAAGACTCATGGGAAACTGAAAGTATAATTAAGGGCCAAAATGTATGATAGTTGGGAAATGGGAAGAAAATGTTCAAATGTGAAGGGGAGTAATGGAGGGAGGAGGGGGGTAAAGAAAGGAAGGGATAAGAAAAGAGGATAGAAGAAAAAATGGAAACTAAGCTTTTTAAATAAGGAGTGGAAGAGGGGTTGAAGGGAGGAGAGGGGAACAGGGCGAAGAAAGCAGCAACAAGATATGTCACAGATAGGTACAGATTCCCTGCGATGAATGTTATCATTATGTATGCCTAACACGGACCAATAAAATTTTAAAAATGGGTGATGTGTGGAATTTTGTCATTTGCACTCCATCACAATGAAAAAGGAGCAAGTGATGGCGATGGGTGGCTAGAAGGGAAGGGAAAGGGAAAGGTGAAGAAGCAAAGCATTTCCCATGCGCC